TGAGCATGCTTAATTATAATTCCTATTAGGCTGTTTTCCTGAATTAAGCAAAAAAGAACAATATCTGGTACAGTTAGTTTACACTTATGAGGATGACCTGCATCTTGTCTGAATGACTTCCTCCTGGGACATTGTTTGACATAAAACAAAAGACTAAAGAAATTTTTTGATTCCATTAAAAAAACCAAAAGACTCACAATTTAAAACATGTAAATCATGTTTTCACTTGAGCCAATAGGTCTTTGCACCTAATTCCTAGTCTCTCTCCTTTTTTTTTTCTTTTTTTTACATAATTCATCTCACAAGAATATCTGGCATACCCATAATAGCATGCTTATTTTTGAAGCAAGAAAGGTTTATCACTTGTTTCGGGTTCAGAACTCTGATGCAAAGTCAGTAAGAGTAATCATAGAAGCATAAACCAAATATCTTGTTTTTTAAAAAAACAAAAAAAAGTCATATTTTTTTTCTCACTAGAAAGCCTGCGAACAGCACCATAAGCTTCTTGTTTGGAAAATCTGAAGCTGGGACACTCTTTGCTCCAATAAAGACTTGCAGTTAATCTGCAGTAATTCCTCACCATCTCTGAAAAAATAAAGAAAGGTAGAAAGTGACGGAAACCAGAAGAAAAACTTCTGTACCTCAGTGGAATCCTTTCTTTTTCTCCCATAAACTACTAATCCTGCCATATATTTCATTAACTGAAATTTAAAGGTACTCCAGTATTACCATAAAATGGTATAATGCTCTCCTTGATAAGAAATAAATACTAGCATTACTCATGAAATGTAAGAAGCTACTTCTTCTAAGAAGTTTTTTTTATTCTTCATATGGAAAAGTATTCTGACTTGAACAAAACAGGAAGGATAACAAAAACAGATGTGTTTTTTAAGCAAGCTGAAATAGCTGAACATATGGGTCACTTACTAAATATATATAAAGTGAAAGGAACAGTATTTTGTATTCTAAATTTTAACTTACAATTTTAACTATACAATAACCATAAGTATTTTAAATGTGAAGAACAGTTTACTTAGTTTTCCTTTTAAATAGCAAATAGTAATAAATTCAATGAGACAAAATCCCAGAATGTGTTTAACTTAAATAAATGTTGTTCCTGAATGTATGCTGCATATGCCCCCC